GGCTCCCCAGCCCCCTTCTGCCCTGCTCCTGCTGCCCCGCCCCTGTCTCCAAATAAATGCTCAGGTCTTTCAACAATTCCCAAGCCCCTCAAGTCTAGAAAGTCACAGCTGCAATACGGATGCTAGAGTCTCCCCAAAGGTGTACAGGAGCCAACACAACCTCCTCTCCAAGGCAGCCTCATTAAAAGAATGAAGCTAAAATTTATCTAGAAAATAGCTCCGTTGAATTATTTAGACATCACAGAGGTGCTCCTTTCCTAGATTCTGAAGACCACTTTCCAAGTGTTGCAACAGGTAGATGATGTGACCAGTAAAGAGGGAAGGGAAGCCTTGTTTATTATGTCATCTAACTTTGACATCTGTGAACACACAGACTAGGGTTTAAAGACTGGCTCCCCCGTGGTTGCGATTGCAATTGCAAAACCCCGTATAGAGAATGATGCCACAGTGAGATGCAAGCTTGGGTTTGTTCTATTGCCTTTGGTTACTTAATTTTATTTAAAACAGAAGCCCGAAAATTTCTTGTATGTGCACTGACAGATGAAAAATTCTCTGTCATTATTTCTGTTGACTTAAAACTACTTAGAAGAAATTCAACAGTGAGGAGTCTTGGTTTTTATTTACAGCTCTTACTCGTCTTTGTATTGTTTACAAGTTGTTTTTAATGAACAGGGAACTATTGATATAAAGGGATTTCTCGTGCCATATCTGGAGTTAGCATTGACAGTGAAAGGTTCAGGCATTATGCTGGCCTGCCCCTGTTACCTGGTGGAACAGGCAGTACCCTGGTCAGCCCAAGGTTCCATGGGAACTAAGTCTGCACACAGGTGCAGAGGACCCCTTTAAAAGACAGGTCCCTGCCCGTTTACGCTCTCTGTTTCCTTGCTCTGTTTCCTCTCAGCTTCCTTTCTACTCTCTCTCTCACCTATGCGCTCTCTCTATGGCGACCGGCCATGGCGGTCAGCCATTACCCTGTTCCTCTTAATCTCCCTACTCTGCCAGGCCTTATAATAAACTTATAGTCCATATGTCTCATGTCTCAGCATTTCTTCTTTTTAAACAAAACAATAACAGACAGGGCATATTGTCTGCCTGTAGCTAGAAGTGGGGCTTCTAGTAGGTTCCAGTGTAAGTCTGGAGATGAAAGGAGGTGGGTTAACAGGCCAGGAGAAGTGAGTAAAGTTAGAAAAAAGATTCTAGAAGAGTATATGGCTAACAGCCTACACTACTGATTAGAAATTACTCTCTGGATATAAACTTTTTGAATTCTGTTCCTTGAGAATCCTTTCTTCAGACTTAATATTGCCCTTTTATTATTTTAGTGCTTCCTGCCCATCAGACTTTGGATTTTTTTATTGATGAAGACTATTATAAACTATCCCTCTGGATATATTTTACTTCGGAGAATATATATTGAGATATCATCTATGATTTTAATAAATTAGGATATTCAGTGATGGGTGTCCATGGCTTCAGAACCCAAAAGAAATCTGTAGAGTTTTGCTTTTTAGATTAAATTGAAAATGCATTACATGACATATAGTGTGTGTTGTGTGAATTGGGGAAAATCATTACTAATTTCAAAGTAGCAAGGGCTAGGGATGATATTCAAACAAATGTTTTTTAGAGGGAGAGTGTTTTAAATGATGTTAAAATATGAAGTAATTAAAAAAGAATTTTTCCTCCTGTCACTCTAGTACATAGTTGCAGAGAAAGCAGACAGAAAAAAAGGGTTAAGTGACCTTCCCAGGTGACTTCCATCCCATCCTCCCATGCCCCCTACGGAACACCCTCTAACCCCCACGCTCCAAGGTCATCAAAGTCTGTCACATCATTTGCGGGAGGGCCCAGGCCCTCTTTCGAGTATCTGGGCTACAATAGTATCCCTCCATAGGGAATGGGCTCCCAAAGTCCATTTGTGTACTAGGGATAAACACTGGCTCCACTGTTAGAGGCCTCCTAGCTGGGAATGTAAATTTAAATCAATGTAAGTTAGTGCTTTGCATCCACGGGTTGTAATCTGGCCACTTGGAGTTTAAACAGGACAGTGGAGAAGGGAGAACTTTCATACACTGAAGAGAGACTTCACATGAGCACAATAACTTTGTAGGGCAGTACAATCAGTGCTATTTGATTTCAAGAATGGTGACCTGTTCTTTAAGATTTAAAATGTGTCCTACTTGCACATTTTAAAAGACACAGACAAGATTAGGCCAAAACGAAAACATCAGAGTCCACTGTATAGACCAAATACTAGCATTGTTTCATGAAACTTTCATTTCTGTTGCATACAAAAAGCCAAGTGTTTCATAAAGTTTCTGTCTTCCTACACACACACACACACACACACACACACACACACACACACACACGTATAAGGAGGGTGTATTTAACTGTCATGTTGAGGTATGTCAGTCATTCATTAGTAGTTGGTTTATACATTACATCATCTTAAATTTCAGCATCCACTTGTGGGTGTTTATTCTTTGTTTGCTTCTTTCTTTGTTTGAATAGGGTCAAGTTATGTAGTTCAGGCTAGCCATCCTCATGCCACCACCTACAGCAGCTAAGATGACAGGCAGGTGACACCATGCCTAACAACTCCAAATAAGGTTTTGCTTTTGATTTTTTGTTGTTTTTAGTTTGTGTAATTCTTCTATCTATGGGTCATACTACTACACTGATGTTTACATACATGCTTTGTGAATTCTCTTTTCTCTTTGAATCTCAGGGAAAGGAAATTGGATTAATTGTGACTCTTGTTTATGATTTGTCATCACCCAACCAAGTTTTCTTGGTTCCTCTCTTCCAGAATTACTTTCTATAACTGGAAAATAGCTATTTTTTAAAAAAAATATCTTTTCTCTTTCCCAATGCTCTTTCTATTGACCTTGAATGAAAACACAGGTCAATTCATGCTTCACTGGTTACTCACAGAAAATCAACAATCTTGCATGATTTTAAACCATAACCTTGAAGAATTGGTTTAATTAATCATGATGGCTGCAAACCATGGGGCATATAATGATTGGGATTTCCTGTTCTCTTACAGTGCATTTTCTCTTGCCTTTCCTAATTTAGCTCATTTTGAATAGGCTCTGTAGATTGGGGAAAGTGACTTGTTTTCTCTTCTTTGATCTTCCTCACACAGATGGGCAGCTGCACTTTCTGACCCCTCCTGGAAGAAGGAGGGGCAGGCAGAAGTGAGATGGGGAAAGGAAGAAAAAGTCGTACATGACAATTCATAAGATGGTTCCATGTTCTCTGGCTCTAATGGGCATTTTAGCTGACACCCTTCCTCTCGTGTGTGTGTGGGGGGGCATGGAAGACAATAACTCAGCTGCTGAGATACATTGCCAGCCTATGAAAGTGGTTCACAAAATGGCAATCAATACAATTGCTTGTTATAGCAAATCCTTAAGAATGTTGGGTCTGGTTTCAAACTAGCATTGTGATTTGGATGTGTGACTTAAGCTGTCTATGCCCCAAGTTGCCCAAGGGGTGGGATAATCAAGGTGTAAGAATCCAATGGAATAGGAAAATAAGAATTGAGGACAGTGGTCACCTAGACAGCAAGTGGAGCTGTCAATCAAGTCATTTAGCTGTTACCTAGTGTTAGACCAGGGGGTCAGATACACTCATATGATACAGACAAAACTGATTGTCAAAAAGGCCAGGGCAGAGTGCTATGGGGACACAGGATTTAGGTTGTGGGTCTACTGTGCCTCAGATGAGGTTCCCTCCTCATCTAGAGCAGGGAATGAGGAGGGAGCAAGAGGAAATGGCTTTGAAATGTTTTTTGGACAGGGGAAGATTTTTTTGTTTCACTGAAAGTAAAAGACAAGTAGTACCAGTTTGGTGAGTCAGTTCATCTACCTGAGAAATTCTTTCCCAAGATGCCTAGTGAGTTTATTTGTGGAATATTAAGTACCTGGAAGGAGGCACAGGATGTCTGGTACTAGTTGGTCCCAACAGAAAGGACAGACAAGCACCTGGGAGTGGATTCTAGGAAGGAGGCCATGGCTATGCCAGCTGACCTTGGACCAGGGAGAGAGAAGGCCCCACAGATCCAGAGGAAGCTGCAGGGTAGAGGTCCGAGAATCCACACTGTTTTGTGCTAGTGACTGAGGATAAACTGAGGTCCCCAGTTTTAAGTGATGTTCATTTTCCTGGCTGACCTTTAGGCTCGACTGGCTGTAGGAAAAAGCCCACTATGGAAATATTATGTGTGTTTTGAGCTAGAAAGTCCCAGGGCAGAGACTTCAAACAAGGAGGGAAGAAAGCAAAGAGCTAAATCAATCTGGTTGTGTGCACTTGAAGAGGTTGACAGGGGAGCATGCCCTGATCCTATACATTGAAGTCTGTTTGGGTAATGTATCAAGGCACTACCTTAAAAAAAATGGATAATCCCATTTCTCATCCATAATCCCAGCATTTGAGAAGCTAGAGTGGAAGATTAAGAGTTCATACCCAAACCCTGCTTTAAAAAACATAAACGAAAAAGAGAAAAAAGCAGAGGGCTTCACAGAAAAAAGTAGAGGGCTTGTTCTGGCTGCTCACAAGACAATGGTCAGGTCCCCAGACTTGGACTTCTCTGCCCTCTGGAGGACAGGGGTGAACGTGACACCCCACAACAAAGAGACAGTGTGCCTCAGTGATGTGCTCTTCCTGTCTGTGAAGCCACACATCCTCCCTTCATCCTAGATGAAATTGGTGCTACATTGAGTTCAGCCACATTGTGCTGTCTTCTGTGGCAGCTGTCATCATCAACTCTATTGAAAAGCAGATGCCAGCTCTCAACCTCATCCACTGTATGACCAACACCACAGAGATGGCAGCTCTCAACCTCATCCACTGTATGACCAACACCACAGTTACAGGCACTAATGCTTAGGTGGAGGATGGCAGGCTCATGGAACAGCTCACTTGCTCCAGAAGTGGAGGAAGATCTGATCAACACTGTCGCAGGGCTCAGTGGCAGCAGCCTTGCCTGTGCTTTTAAGCCCTGGGTGCTCTGGCTGATGGAATTGTGAATATGGTAGTTTCATGGTGCCTGGCAGTCTGCCTTGAGGCCCAGGTCCTCCTGGGGGCAGCCAAGATACTAATAGTCTCAGAATAGCATCCTTCACAGCTCAAGGATAATGTCTGCTTTCCTGGTGGGGCCACCATGATGCTTTTCATGTGCTGGAGAGTGGAGGCTTTTTGCTCCCTGCTTATCAATGCTGTGAAGGCCTCCTGCATCTGCACATGGGAACTGCACACCATGGCTGATCAAGAAACTGTCTCCCCTACTGCCTTCAAAAAGAGTATACTTGACAAGTTGAGACTGGACCTGTCTGCTAGGGTGAGAGATGCAAGAACTTGTGAGAGTAGGCCACTGAAGAAAGGAAAGGACCAACAGGAGGCAGCTCATGACAGAGGACGTGGCTGCCAAGACAGAAAGTCACTAACTGAGCCTGCATGACCCAGAGAAGGGTGTAGTTTGATAAAGAAACATCATGCAATAACAGAACCCAATTTCCAAGATTCGAGAATGTTCAGGGATTGTATAAAGGCAGCAGTCTCAGGCCATACCTCAAGCCTGGAGCTGGTTACTGCTGGAGTCAGGGTACTTTTGCTTTTTGATAATTTCTTTTGGGTGTGGGGAGGGAGATGCCAGAGTTTTCCTGTCCCAGAGAAAATGGTTATAGAGTATTTAATCTTCTCTCCAGAACTACTTTTACAAAATGGGAGGGACTTGCCTGAAGGGTTAAAATTGTCTATAGAAACATCTAGGTCTGAGGCTTTGTTTGTGGAAAGTGTCAATCTTTTAAAACAGTTACAGGATGGTTTTGATTTTGTCTTCAGTCTTTTTAGTTATATTTTGCTAAGTAAGAATTTATTGATGTTTCATGGGGAGGGCATTGGGATGGAAGCTAGGGCCTCATGCATGCTAGGCAATCACTCTGTTATTAGGCTACATCCTCAGCCAAGGACGTATTGGGTTTTATCTGGTTTTTGGCTTCATAACTGAAATCATACACAGGGCTTTCATACTATCTGCCTGTTTTTGATTGGGTACATAATATATGTTTTGACCCATCTACAGACATTTATAAGTTACATTCTAATTCCTATCTTTTCATTTCTCTTTTTCTTTTTCTTTTTTGGTTTTTCGAGATAGGGTTTCTCTGTGTGGCTTTGGAGCCTATCCTGGCACTTGCTCTGGAGACCAGGCTGGCCTCAAACTCACAGAGATCCACCTGCCTCTGCCTCCCGAGTGCTGGGATTAAAGGCGTGCACCACCAACGCCCGGCTCATTTCTCTTTCTTTAAAAAGAAACAAAAACAGCAGTGTTTCTTGGTCATTCCCATGGCCCACAATCCTCATTATATCTTCCCTGTGCTCTTTCAAAATGTTAGTGACACGTGGCATTTCACAAGTATTTATTTAATATTTTGGGGGTGCTTAGACATCCAGAGTTTAGGAACTAACTCAATTCAATAAGTGCCTCTTTCCTTGGGGGATGCATGGCTGGGAACGACATGAAGACAAAACTCAGTATTTACTAGGCAGGCCAGCAGGTCTGAAGTGGTTGGGGTCTTTACCACTCCGACCCCATTTGTTGGCAAACTGGTCAGCTCTTGAGTCCGCTGCTCCATGTCCTGTGAACCTCTGAATACCCTCTCTGGCATCACTGTAATCAAGACAGACAAGAAGAGCCATAATCATGCTGAAGGCAGTAGACCCACCCTCCTGTCTCCCAGAGATGGCTGTAAGAGGAGCCCAGGAAAGTCAAGGAAGGAGAGGCTGGTACTGATGCTGCCTGAGTGAGCAACTGCTCAGTGCAGGATGTCACCCTCATGCTGGAAAAGCAGCACTAGGGGAGAGAGGGTGGGGTCATGTATCACTGCCAGCCTCTCCCAGTACTATGCACAGAAAAGAGGAAGGTTAATGGGCACTGCGCTCAGGATGCAGAGGACAGCCTCCTCCTGACTGTCCAAAGCAGTCAAGCTCTGCTCACCGAGACCTCTGTTACCTGATCACTTTAGCAGCCCAGGCTCCTCCTGGTCCCCTTTTGACAGCATCATAGTTTCCTCGGGCATGGAAATATTTATCTGAGTTTTTCCAGTTGGCCTCTTTCATGTCAGAGTAAGCTCTCCACATGTCTCTAGTCCCTGGGGAGGGAAGAGAATGGTGAGGAAGATTGTGTTTAGGCAAAACAGAGTTAAAACTTCCTTCCAACTCAAACCAATGATTCAGGCTTTCACACGCCCACAGAAATGTTGCTGGCTTGAAATGAATAGATCTTACTTCCCCATGGCTGTGCAGGAGAAGTGCATTTGGAGCGAGTTTTATTCTGATGGATTCCTGTCTTAGCACTATTGCTGTTGGTCTTTGGCTGTTCAAAAAGCATATTGAGAAGAGAAGATATCTGGGGGATGTTTCATCATACCATGATGAAACTCTCTCTAAAATGGTCCAGGGAAACTTCTAAGGTGTGCAAACATGAGGCCTCTTCCCTCCCTCCTGTCCCCTTCCTTCTTACGCCATTCATTTCCTTTGTCTTACACTCTCTTCCTTTAGAGGCAGCATGCATCTCTATATAACTCTGTATAACCTGAATCTCACAATCCTGTTGTCTCAACCTCCCATGTGCTACAATATCCACTGCAGCCACAGCTCTCTCCTAGCACAGGCAATGGGAGCAACTGCTCTCCAGGCAGACTGGGTGCAGTTCTGTCCTGCGTCCATGGAATGTCCAGGGTCTATTGCAACCTGAGCAGTTCTCAGCACTCCACCAGCAGAAGACAACAGTGAGTTTTCTGATACCAACTGAGACAGCTGGGTGATCAGAGACCCTAGGTGGCAAAGAACACACTAGGTTTATAACTTCTACATCCTCTCTAGATCGGGGAAGAGTATTAACCACCTTGGTGGTTATACAGAAAACCGAGAAAATGCACATGGGATGGTCATGGAGGATACTCAATTCATTATCATCTAACTTCTCTCCTCCTCATGATAGTGCCACAAGCAACAAAAGTTCTAAACTAAGGAAGAAGTGGTAAGCCCTGCAATGAAGGAATCAGACCCAGCCAACATTAAATGGGAAATATCTTCAAAAGTAACGAATTAGGGGAAAAAGAAAGCCTACTACCTAGGTTCATTTAATTTTTATCCTGCTGTGGCTGGTGGGATTTTTTCCCTTATCTAGTCCATGTCTCAGCCCTGGCAGGCCTGTATTCCAGGTAAGTCAGTCATTACCTGCTGTGGGTGGTGGAGGATCTGGAGCTTCTTTCACGGGCAGCTGCCTTCCCTAACCCATGACCTGCAGCTTCTCAGGTAAACAGTGAGTGTGTGCCCGTAAGTCCTCTCTCTGTTCTGAGAGCTGTGTAGTGGATTCTGAGGAGCTGGACAACCTGGGCTAACCTCTCATCTCCCAGGAATTTTGTTAGATAGCTTATGTACACTTTGTCCCTTGGTTTCTTAAAAAAGTAGATTTGGCACCTACACCACAAGATGAATTTAAAAATTAATTCGTTTCCACACATAATGCTTCTTGGACAATGTCTTTTCACTGCTCTATTAGCCTTGGCTACTGTCACTGTGGATGGAGGACTGCACTGATTCTCCTGTGTGTGGCCTGGAACACCTTACACTTGAGATACACTTCATTTCACAGCCACCAGACATAGAAGTGAGCTGCTCATTGTCTTCCACAAGGGGGCAGCAGATCCCCTCTTCGGCTGGCAAACCTGCATCTTTCAAGTACAGATTGTTCATTCCTAAATTCCTGTGGGAAAGCTGCTGACAAACATTACGTGATCTCAGACTTTAGATCCTCACAGAAAAAGGTAAACACTGACCAGAAAAGTTCAGAACTACATAGGAAGAGCGACACTGCTTCTCTATCCATGGAGACTTCACAAGGATGTTTGCCCTTAATTATGTGGTCCCTGCTCTGGGAAGTACTTGGAACTCAAAAATACAACTTCCCGCTCCCATCCTTTGTTCTTACCTTGGCCAGCTTCTTTCATGAACTGGAACACTCTTTGGCTGTCAACTCCCAGGACCAAGAAGCAAAAAATGATGGCAATGAACAGCTTCATCCTGCTGTAGGGTCAGGAAAACACAGGATGAATATGCCATTTCTTGGGGTGGAGGATGCTTCTGTAATGTTGAGCTGTCCTTCCGTGCCAGTAACATATCCCACTGGATTTTATACATAATCCCACACACATGTAGTGTCAGGTGATACAATGGGTTCCAGGGAGATATCTAGGTTCCCATTTCCACGTGTTTCATTAGAATCCCAGTGTCTGAGACTTTGTGAATGGACCATTAGTATAAAACACATTACATTTCAGTTTGCCAGCTGAACCACAACTGTATAGGAAGCTACCAGAGAGGCATGGGGTGGTGGTGGCTTTTTAACCATCATAGCTCTCTGCAGTCTATCTGTAGAAGACTGACTCCACTCTTCCCTGAATTCACACAGAAGCATACAACAAATCTCCATGCTAAAAGTACTGCCTCCAGTGAATTTTAATCCATCTAGTAGATTCAGAAAAGAGACTGAACACAAAACACAACAAACAAATGCTGGCTGGGGAAAAAAATCTTCAAAGAGCAAATGCAGAAAATTTCTGACAACTCACCTTGAGTGTTAGTTCCTTTCGAGATGCCGGGTGAGTGGCTCTTTTGACTTGTTGAGGAGATGTGGCTGGGCGTGAGTGACAGATGTATATATACTGTCACTCAGCTGGTGGAGCAATCCCCTGTTTGATCTTGCACAATCCCACTTGGCCATAATTTAGCTTCCAGAACATAAAGATTTCTCTTTACACAGATCTGTTTTTCCCAGATTGGGCAATCCAGTCATTTTCAGGAATGTGGCAATTTAGGGCTTTCAGAGTCTTCTTCACCCTGACTAGGAATACTCAGGTTGAGTACTTTCCATCCAGTGATGTGGTACCAATTTCTAAGGAAGGGAAATTAACATTGGAAAAAGAAATATGAGTATGTAATAACCATGGGGGTGCACGGCGGATCCAGAAGCTGAGCTAATGTCCTTTCAGAGCATGGTTCAGAATTAAGCTGGGCCTTGGAAACAGACGAAAGGGAGGCAGAAACTGACTTTTAGCATCCACGTGGGTAGACTCAACACTGGGAAAGGACTTCTTCAGACTCAAGTGTATTTATTCATGAGCACTTGCTAGGGAAGGCAAGAGAGCTGATTAAATTCAGATAGCATGACAAGCCAGGAACATGAAACATTATTACAGGAATTTGCTTGAAAGTTGTGAAGAAGGCCCACTGACTGGGTTCAGACAGAAAACGGGAAAGCACAAAGCAGGAATGCTGGGAGATAGTATCAGCAGCATATTACCCTCAGGCCAGGTAAACGGTGTCAGCCTGGTGTTAATTAACAACACAATAGTGGGCCGGAGTTTCCTGGTGCCCAATATTTGGTCCCCCCACAACTCTGTTCTAAGGGACTCTGGGCTGGATCCCGAGGATAGTAGTAGAGCCAAAAAAAGCCAGACCAGAAAGAAATAAGTCAGGATTTTTTGCCTGAAACTGTTTGTTTCAAGAAGAGGCATGCAGATATTTCGTTGCAGAGACAAGCTGATATAACAAACCCTGTAAGCTGGAAGATGGTGAATAACAGTCAGAAGAAGGAATAACAGCTGAGGAGAATGGAAGGAAAGAGCTTTCTGTTTGATACAGACAGAGGGAGGTATGATGATAAGGTGGATGTTGGCAAAAGTGATACAGGATGAAGCAATCAGGCAAGGGTGGGCACATGTTTGAGAATTGTTGTCTTAGATTAAAGCCTTTGAGAGTGAGCCTCTTTCTAGGTTTGACCTGTATTTTAGTTATTTTGGGCACTATGACATGAGAATTATAAGGGAAAAAAGCTGTCAAATGATTTTCTTTTCTTGGTCCTTAGCTAAGGCACTGCCAAGCCATTTTGGCTACTCCTTACATGACTTCCATTCCTTGGGAAAGGGATTGGATTCTTTGGTGGCCTGGGGTCTGGCTGGCTAGGCTCATACTGTTCTAGCAATAGGCAGTAAGCAGTAGCTACAACCTCCCACACTCCCTGGTTGTGGACCTGCTTGGGGAAGTGCTTCACAGAGGACTGCATATAAAACCATCCCCCTTTCTGTTGTGACTTCTTGGGATAGATGTTTGTTGCAGTGATTACGTACTGACCTCCTCAGCCATTCTAGACTCAAAATTCACTTCCCACAGGGCCACTCTTTCTACCTACCCTCCTCCTCCTCTTAATTTCATTTTATTTTATGTGCACTTTGTCTGGCTGTATATACATGCATGTCCTGTGCCCGTGTAGGTCAGAAAGAGGGTGTCAGTTCCCATGGAACTGGAGTTATATGGTTGTGAGCCAACATGTGATATCTGCGAAATGAACCCAGGTTCTTTGGAAGAGCAGCCAGGGCTCTTAACTGCTGAACCATCTCTCTAGTTCCTGCCCTCTTCTTTGATAGAAACATTACAAGACAAGTGAGTTCTTTCCTGGACATTAAGAAGAGCTCTTCACATGAACACTTTCTTTATTAACAATAGTGTAATAATTCTTTGTGGATTTTATCCAGTGCACTTTGATCATATTCACACCTTATCCTTAACTCTAATCTCACTGCCCTGCCCACCCAACTTAAAGCTTTCTTCTTCTTTTTCCATTCATAAAGTCCAGTTTGAATGAGGCAACTACTCTTGGGGATGGCGTCTGCCCTAGAGGTTGGTCAACAAGGGATTATATCATTGAAGAGAACTGAACCTTCCTCTCCTAGTAGCAATTAAATGCCAATATCTTCTCAGCTAGGAATGGGATTTTGTGCCCACCTTACCCTCCATGCTGCGGTTTTGTCTTCTCTGAGCTTGCCACAGGTCTCATTCACACTGTCACAGTCACGTTGAGTTCACCTGTGCAACTGCCTTGCTGTGTCTGGAACACAGTATTTTCTTCAAGGCATCCATCACCTCTGCCTCTTACATTCTTTCTGCCCCCTACTCCAAGAAGACCCCTGAGCCTTATGGGATGGGGCATTATAGGTATGTCCAGGGATGTTTGTCTTTGTTGTCCATTTCATCATTATACAAAGTTGCCCTTGTTCATTCATAATGTGTCTCTGGGGAATGGGATCTCACGAGAAGACTGCTGTCTGTCTTATCTCACTCTGATCCAGACACTTGCCTGGGTTCCTTAAGCAGTTGCAGAGTAAATAACAAACCCTGAATAAATAAAAAGAGAGATGAGTGCAGTCTGCAAGACTATTTACTTAAAGGTAAAACTGGAAGAGAATTTTTAAAGGACTCCAAATGTTTGAGAGAAGCATGCCAGTTTGGATGTTGCTGTGTCTAGCCCACATGTAAGAAACCCAGATTGATCCACACTGCATTGCGTCACTCCAGCACAAGCAGGGACAACCCACATCAGACCCAACACCAACTTACAGTAAATGGAACCAACCTGCATTTCCCACAAATTATTCCATGGTGTTGGGTTATTGCCTGAAAGTTTGGAAGGACTCCGCAAATAATGAACTTGTGTCTAAATACAGCACAAAAATGTTCTCTGAGTACGAGCCTGAATTTTGTTCCTAACTAGCAATTTCAAAATGTGAATTGCAAAGTCCTAGAATTGCACAATGCCTTCTTTAGCAGCTGGGTTTGAGACTTTGCTGATGAAGCTCTCTTTCCTGTTGCCTATAGCTGAGAGGACAAAGGGGCTCTGATTTTCCACATCCTGGAGAATTAATGAAAGAAGCTGAGTCTGACCTCAGAGCCCCCAATGTCCTTGAGGAGGCATACGTGCAGGTTCTCAGTCCCAACCTCTCCTTAACCTCTCACTGCTGCTTTTGTGAAAATGGGAAGAACTCAGAAAGTGGAGGGGACAGCTAGCCCACAATGCTCGAGGGCTGCCTTAAAGCCGACCTGCCATTCGAGTTGCCCGGGATTGGCTTTCAGTAGCCTACAGGAGCAGAGTTGTCCTTCTGTGAGTTAGAAGTAGTTGTGGGTCTAGATCTCTTCCTGTGGGTTCAGGTGCCCAGAAGAAAAGGACAAGCCCCTCAGCCTTCAGCATGTTGTATAGCAGGTGATACAGCTGGCCAGCTGACCCAAGCCCTGCCTGGCAGAGAGGAATATGGTGAGAGGGTTCTGGGGAAAGCCCCCGAACACCCC